ACATCCTCAGGGAGGCTGCGTGGGGCTTAGGGGTCCCCTGCAGCAGCAAAGGAGCGCTTGCGCTGCAGCTGCTGCAGTGCTTGCTGCAGCAGGAAGCACGAGCAGCAGCAGCAACAACAACCAGAGCAGCAGCAGCAGCAGCAGCACCGAAGGCAGGAGAGCCAACCACCGCCACTCCAGCAGCAGGAGCAGCAGCAGCAGCAGCAGCAACAGCAGCAGCAGCAAGGAGCTGCTACTCTTGTCTTCTGTATATTGATATAGAAGCGGCTCTGTTAGATAGCCGCAGCATCCCTACACTTGCTGGGCCTATTCCGTTGCTGCTGCAGGAGAAAGAGGGAGCAGCAGCAGCAGCAGCAGTGGGTTCTGCTGCTGCTGCTGCTGCTGCGCTGCAGACACCGCAAGCTGCTGGGGCCCTCCTATCGCGGCTGCTGCTGCAGCCGCTGCTGCCTCATGAAGAGGGTGGGGGGCCCCCCTGGGTGCTGCTGCAGCGTTTGCTGCTGCTGTCTCGCGAGTTGCTGCTGCGGCAGCAGCAGACACAAGTTGCCTTGGGGGAGGGGCTGCTGGGGAGCGGCTGCGTTGCTGCTGCTGCTGCTGCTCCTCTCGCCGCGCTGCAGCAGCAGCAACAGCAACAGCAGCAGCAGCAGCAGCAGCAGCAGCTGGGCCCCTCCTGGCGGCTGCGTACTCTCAGCCGTGCCTTCACCAAAAGCTTGGGGCGAGGAGCTGCGCGTGAAGACTACAGACGCAGCAGCAGCACAGCAGCAGCAGCAGCAGCAGCAGCAGCAGCAGCAGCACACCCGCGGCACCAGCATCATCATCATCATCATCATCAGCAGCAGCAGCAGCAGCAGTTGCTGCTGCAGCACAAGTCGCTGCGGTTCATATGGAACAGCAGCGAAGTTGTTTTCTATCTGCTGCAGGCTGCTTCTTGGTGCCTGCTGGATGATCGTTGCATCAGCCTTTGCTGCAGCGGGGGGGTGCAGCAGCTGCTGCTGCTGCAGCAGCAGCAGCAGCAGCAACGCAAGCCAAGAGGCCTGCTGCTTGCTTCCCCTCTAGCTGCGCTGCTGCAGCGAAGAGATCCACATGAAGAGCTATCACGCCTCGCGGACTTTGTTGCTGCTGCTGTCTCCAGCAGCAGCAGCAACAGCAGCAGCAGCAGCAGCAGCACAACAGCAGCAGCAGCAGCAGGCCCAAAGGGCAGCTGCTGCAAGAACTCACTTGCTGCAGACGCTCGCACCGCTGCTGCTGGTGCTGCGGGAGAGCTGCCGGTCGAGCTGCACCAATGTTTGCTGCTCAGCAGCAGCAGCAGCAGCAGCAGCAGGAGCAGCAGCAGCAGCAGCAGCAGCAGCATAGGCAGCTGCCTGGATGTGGTGTTTCTGCTGCTGTGGGCAGCAGACTGCTTGGGTTTCGCTTTGCTGCCGAATGCATGCA